GCCGGCGCGCCGGCCGCGATCTTTTCCTTGCCCCTGCTCCTTCCCGCTCGAGCCCTGCTCCGCACGGATGCGGTTCTGGGGCGTGGCATTCCATACCTACGAATCTCAAATCAGGAATCGTGGCACCAACATAAGCTTTCAGGGCTCCGAAAGTTCACGTGTATCCAGTATTCCTTTTCTCTAGAATTATGGTGCTCCATCCTACTTTAGCCTTGATCACCAGAAAGAATTTCGAGCGCCCCCCAACAAAGTACCGAAACTCGAGGGTTTTCACGTGTCGGGCCCTGGGAGACACTCGCCCGACACTGTTTCGACACTGTTTCGACACTCTTTTGACACTTTTCCAGGTGCTCGAAATTAGTTCTGGGATGTGGTCCTGAAGTAGGATGGAAACAACATACCTCTAGAATCAGGGAAAGCATGGAATTCCAGACCATGTGCGCGGGTCAATACGTCTCAGCTCTCCCCTCCTCGGGGCCACACCCGCGAGCAGACGCCTCTCCTGTGTGGTGCCTCCTAGCCGTCCCTGCCCCTCCCCTGCCCTCCCCCCCTTGTCCTCCGCCGCCGAATGTTTTGGAGATGTCGCCCTCGGGGGATCTCGACCATTTCCCCTGGGCCGGTTTTTCATCCTGAGCCGTTTGTGGCCGTCCTGGGGCCGGGAGACCACCTGCAGAGGTCGAAAACGTCAAACGCGGTTGCCGTGATTCTTCGGCGTCGCCCGGGCCCGAGGGCCTCTCCCCGGCCCCGCCCCTTCTCATCCTCCGCCTCCCCCATCTGCGCCGCAGCCCCCGAGAGTGGGCGTGCGCCTCTCGCTGGAGGCGGCCGCGCGAGGAAGCCTGCTAGACGCGCAGGATGGGGCCGGCCTGGGCGAGGGCGAGGGCTGCCAGGCCCCCGGAGACCAGGACACAGATAAACCAGGACACTTTTTTGATCTGCGGGGCGAGAGCGAACCTCTTCCGCTAAAAGCTAGGCGGGCGACGCACAGCTTTAAATTAGGGAGACAGGGCACATGAAGGCGGGGCCTCAAGCGGCCGGAGCGGGCGGGGCCCGGGGAAGAGGCGGTGCCGAAGTGGATGTGCAGGAAATGGTACGCCATGGACAGGGACCGAGGGCGAGGACCCGGAAGGCGAAGGAAATGGTGTTGCCGTCAACGGCACTTCGCGAACACCAGCCTCAAACACTGCAGGGGAGGACGCGCCTTATGACCAGGTCGACGCCCAGGAGGAAGAAGAGCACCACGAAGGCAATGAGCAACGTTGTGCCACCGGATGATGCGGAGGAGGCCCAGGGTGGTTGTCCAATCCACGACCAGGTAGCAGCGTAGCTTGAGGTCCAAACGAAAGGGCCGTCCATGACCGACTGGAAGTCGGTGTGCTGCAGGAAGAAAACCTGCCCTGCATCGACAGCGCGTGAAGACGGGCAGCAGCCACGCACGATGCGCTGACGTCCGCAATGCCAAAGGCCGGGCCTGAGCCGCGCAGCGCCATTGCGAGCGGGGCCGCCGAGGCGGCAAGGTGCAGCGCCTAGCACTGGGCCGGAGCCGCGCAGTGCCGGGCGCTGCCGCCATGGGGGGGGGGGGAAGCGAGCGGGGGTGCAAGAAGCGAGAAGGGCCGGCGCTCACCGCCAGCCGTCGACGTGCCAGCCCGCACCATCGGTGCTCACGTAGGAGGAGCTGGGATCCCAGTGGGTTCAAGTGGGACACACGCTCCCAATACACGTTAAAGACAGGAGGGGGGTGGGAGCAGGTAACACAGACGGGGACCAGGTGGACCAGTAGGCAAACGCCGCTAGTGGAGCCGTGCACGTACCATGTGCACCGCTACTGCGCCCGTCAGGCTGCGCGTGCCTGCACCGTGCACGTGACGGGGGCGCCCGTGGGTTGCCAGGCGCCTGGACCAGCTTTCCAGCCAAGGCCGTGGGGGAACAGGTGGGGGGGATCAGGAGGACACGCGGTCCCAAGCCAGGTGGTGAGGGAGGGGGAAGGGGGAACAGGTAGTGGGCGTGGCCAGCGGTGGGTTGGACAAGGACCTTGCCGTAAGTCGGTGGGGGAGGAAGAAGTCGGTCGCGGTGCGCTGCGCCTGACAGGGGGGGCCGGTTGCAGACTGGTCATCGCCTGGGGCGCTTCCCGGTCCAGTTGTCGTTGTACCCGGAGCTGCGCGCCTGGCCCTCCCCGCCCCCTTCGCCTTTGGCAACCTCTCTTTTCTTTTGGACATCCTGGTGCAGGGCCTTTTCCCGGTGCCAGTGCACGTAGACGCCGGCGTACCGAGACCACGTCTCCACGTGGTGGTTGCAGCTGTCCATATCTTCCAGAAATTTAGCGATTATCTGGGGCTGCCAGCAGTTCGGGTCGAACGCAACCTGGTCTTTGGATTTGCCTTTGCCCTGCTCCTTACATATATGCCTGCACCACGAGTGCCAGGCTACGGTGAAGTGGTATCCTCCCTCAGCCTGCAGCCTCTTCAGGTGTGTGACTGCTGTCTCGTGTGAGCGGCGTGGCCAGCTGACGCGATGGATTGTCCGAGAACGGCTGGGGTCAGGGTAGCGGCGATCGTCCCTGTGGTGAGAGCTGCGTTGACATTCTGGCTGGCGCCAGGGGGTCCACCCTGCGCCCTTGCCACAGTCGCGGTCCTGGTCCCAGTTGCGCTCTCTGGCTCTGTCCCAGTCGTTGGTGTCTTGCTTGCGCCACGGGGCCCCTCTACGCCTTTGTTGCGGTCGCGGTCTCGGTCGCGCTCGTGCTCTCCGGCACGGGCCCGGTCGCTGGTTTCTCTGGACGAGCGCCTCACCGCAGTCTCGTACGTTTCCCATGGAACTGGATCCCGCGCCCTGCCGCGCAAGCGCTCTAGCTCATGTGCAGGGGGGCGGTTGAGTGCGGGGCGCCTGTCTTCTGGGGCTTTGGATCTGGGCCGCGTGTGCAGGGCGCGGTCGTCGGCGACGGCCGTCACAAACACGGTCGGTTCCGTGGGTGCGCAGGCTGGCTGGGTTTGGTACGTACTGCTTGAGTCGCGCTCGGGACTGCTGCGTCGCTCGTCACGAGGGCTCGACTTGGCTCTGCCCTCCTCGACTGTGTCGGGGTCTGAGGAGGGAGAGACCGTGTGGACCATGCTTAGGGTCTCCGCGAGCCTCTGCTTCCTTTCTTGTTCCTGGGCGTCGTTGGTCCAGTCAGGGTCCTCCTCCTTAGGGTCAGATAAACCAGGACACGGACAGCCAAGGAAAGGACACCAGTTCCTGCAAAATCACGTCTTCCATCACCGGAGCATCTTTTGTTTGCTGCACTGGGGGGTTCGGGCTTGTGTCCGGGTTTGGGGGGTTTTGCAGGCTTTGAAGGCCTGGGTCCAGGTTCATTCTGGGAGTGCTGCAGTGCACTCTTGTGTTCGTGCCGCCGTCTGGAAAAAAATGTTTTTGAGGGATGTTGGGTGTCCGGGTCTAGCGTGTCCGGGTTTACGGGGCCTTGAGGCTGACTGGACAAGCAAGACGGAGGGTTTCGTCGTTTTCGGCCTCCGGTGGCACTCGCCGGGCCCTAGGACCGTCATAAACAAAACATTCAGGATGTAAGCCTGGCTCAGGGGAAAGGGTCTGAACTTCGGGGGCCCCGTGCTGCGAAGATCCAGATGTCGGGCCTCTGGGCGCACTTCTGGCCACCCACCAAACCACCACAACACAACCCGCAGGCCCCGATTTGCCCTCGAATTCCAATTGGGGGGGGGGTCGGGGAACATGGAAAAACAAATATGAAGCCCGTACCCCTCCCAACCCGAAATTCGGGGGTTCGGGTTGGGTTTGGGTGATCTGGTAGGTAGTCAACCTCTGGCCCACCCCACTTGTCGGTGCTCGGCCCCCAAGGACCTAAGGACGCCCCAGGGCCCCCGAGGCCAGGATTTTTTGCAAGCCAGGACTCTGCCAGCTCTGGTGGGAGCCCAGGCCGCCCACATGGGGCTGGACTAGATTTAAGTCGGGCATGTCCTCTACAGGAGGGAGATTCCAAACAATAGTCTGGGGGACGTTTTTTTTTGTACTGTTTGTGACAGCTTTGAATATTTCCCAACCGTCCTGTGGTGTTGGGTCCTCGTTTTGAAGAGACGGTCCACGCGTTCTCCTTCTCTCCTCCTCTTCCCCCTCCTCCTCCACCGTCCGCATGCGTCTTGCACGTCCAGTACAGCGTTTCGTGGCCCCATAGGGATCCCCCCGGAAGGTCCCAGTGCTACCGTCCGCATGCGTCCCGCACACCCAGTACAGCGTTTCGTGGCCCTATAGGGAGCTCCACCGAAGGTCCCAGTGCTACCGTCCGCATGCGTCCCGCACACCCAGTGCAGCGTTTCGTGGCCCCATAGGGAGCCCCACGTGCTACCGTCCGCTTGCGTCCCGCACACCCAGTACAGCGTTTCGTGGCCCCATAGGGAGCTCCACCGAAGGTCCCAGTGCTACCGTCCGCATGCGTCCCGCACACCCAGTGCAGCGTTTTTGACCCTCCTCCTCCTCCTCCTCCCTGCGTTTCACCCTCCCAGTACAGCGTTTCGTGGCCCGATAGGGAGCCCCACCGAAGGCCCCAGTGCCCCCGTCGGCATGCGCCCCGCACACCCAGTACAGCGTTTCATGGCCCCATAGGGAGCTCCACCGAAGGTCCCAGCGCTACCGTCCGCATGCGTCCCGCACACCCAGTACAGCGTTTCGTGGCCCTCCTCCCCCTCCTCCCTGCGTTTCACCCACCCAGTACAGCGTTTCGTGGCCCCATAGGGAGCTCCACCGAAGGCCCCAGTGCCCCCGTCCGCTTGCGCCTCGGAGGCCCAATTTGGCATTTTCACCCGCGCAGTGCAGCGTTTCGTGGTCCCATAGGGGGCTCCACCGAAGGCCCCAGTGCCACCGTCCGCACGCGTCGGGGAAATGTAATTTGGCATTTTCACACGCGCAGTGTAGCGTTTCGTGGCCCCATAGGGGGCTCCACCGAACCCCCAGTGGGACCGTCCGCATGCGTCCTGGTAACCCAATTTGGCATTTTCATTCAT